GAGCATGTTGTTAAAATAGATTTCTTTATCAAGTCCTTTGTGAATTCCAATGACAGAAAAGTACTAATACCCAAGGACCTGGTGGCTAGAGGATGAGAGCAGGGTGAAGGATGTCCGTCTTCAGCAGATAAGTCACCCACAGATCTCAGGGAAAAGTCTTTGAATCAGACAGTCATCTGAGAGAGCCAGCTCAGGCACTAGGGTGTCAGTCCCACAGGCTGACAAATCCCAGGCCTCAGCCATTTCCAGATTCCTCAAAGGGTCATAGGAGCCCTGCACTGTTACCCCATTACTCAGTGCCAGTGGGTTGAGAGGATATGACCAGAGGGCAGGCTTAAATGACCTCTCTTATTCAGAATCTTAGAATTTTAATGACCGGCATTCACTCCACATCTTGGAACCATTTTTCCAATAACAGAATGTCCATGGGAATTTCTAACCAAATCCCTTCCATCCAAATCCTACTCTCCTATGGAAGTCTTTTCTAATCAACTTCACACAAAGAACCTTTCCCCTGCATTCTCGTACACAATGCTTAACAAATGCTATTTGGAGATTTATCACCTTGAGCTCCTTCCTGGCAGCTCCTGCAGCTTCCTGGAACTATTAGCTTCTCATATATTATTGTCTTATCCTTTGCATCTACAGAAATCCATACCTGAACATAAAAAATACACATTCAGGGCTGGGGGGTACAGCTCAGTGGTAGCGCACTTGCATAGCATGCATGAGGCTCTGGATTTGGTCCCTGGCACCACATACTCATAAAAGAAAACATTCATTTCTATGCCTCATTTTTATATTTCTCCTTGGACAAACTCTTCATTTCCCTTATAGTCTTTCCTGCTTGCTCACAGTCACCTCGCAAATACTGACAATAGCCCGTGTGAGGGTACATGCGTGTAATATAGCGAGTCCAGAGGCTGTGGCATGAAAATTGCAGGTTCAAGGCCTAGGCTGGGAGACCCTGTCTCAAAAACAGACAAACAAATAAATAAATAGGGCTGGGATGTGGCTCAGTGGGGGCACCCCTGCATTCAGTTTCCAGTACTGGGGGGAAAATACTGATGATACCCCTCATCCTTAACAAGACCAGCTTTCAATGAATGTTCCACACTCCAAGCTTAAGTTTGTTCCTCTGCTTTAGAACTTCAGGCAATCAGTCTCCAATTTCTATTCTTATTCCTCTTTCAGTCCACTTTACTTCAGTCATACAAACACCCTTTGGAATTTCTCCATCCAAAATAAATAAATAAATAAATAAATCAGCATAGGAAAAAAAAAAAAAACGCTTTACTGATGGGCATCTTGTACTTTTTCTTTTTCTTTTTTGGTACTAGGGATTGAACTCTGGGGCACTCAACCACTGAGCCGCATCCCCAGCCCTATTTTGTATTTTATTTAGAGACCACTCACTTTTTTCTTTAATAAATATTTTTTAGTTTTAGGTGTACACAACATCTTTATTTTAACGTGGGGCTGAGAATCGAACCCAGTGCATCACACATGCTAGGAGAGTGCGCTACCACTTGAGCCACATCCCCAGCCCCGCACCTTACTTTTGCTGAGGCTGGTTTTGAACTCTCGATCCTCCTGCCTCAGACTCCCGAGTTGCTGGGATTATAGGCATGTACCACCGTGCAGGACACATCTTATACTTTTTATCAAGCCCAATTTTATACTCTAGTTTCTATCCATCATAGTCATCATCATGCCCCTGTTACAGGCTATTGCAAGTCAATATAAACAGCCTATGTGTCTATGAAGCAAGTTTTACTTCTAGCCTTAACTCTTCCTACTAATCCTGCGAAATGAATTTCTTAATTTATCTCTTCATCCCTCCCTCCCTCCAACTAGAGTAAAAGCTTCACAGGAAGAAGAACAAGGTTTCTCTTTCGGACACTACTGAATCCCCTGTATCCACTTGTAGAGCTCAATAACTATTTACAGAAGAGATGGTGATTAAATGAATCTCCAGAACACCTCCCACATTCTGTCCCTCTCCAATCCTTCCCTCTGCTTAACCAGAGATTGTCAAAAACAAACTCAGGGTCATGAGGCTGTCAGGATTCAAATCACTAGTTGGCCTCTAAGTAGGGATATAGTCTTGAGCCTGTGACCTGACTTCTCTCCATCTCAGTCTCCCCACCTGTAAAAGAAAATATGACTATGCCAAGCGAGGACTGTGATACCGTAGATAAAGTTCTCAACACATAAAAGGGCACACAGTAAGTGCTAATTGTGGCTCTTAGGTTTTGTCCATCTGGGTCAGTGCCATCTGTACCACTGCATCTTTCCCCTTCTCATCTGCTACAAGACTAGCATCTCACAACAAAACTTACTTTGAAACAGAAATAAACGAATGAGTCCAAAGTGAGAGCGTGAGAGTTTTTTCCTATGAATAAAGTATATGCACTTGAGTGACAGAGCTTACACTTCTACTGAGCAGTTCCGGCCTCTATGTTTCTGTGTTTACACCTTGGTTTTCAACTCTGCTCAGATATGCTACATTGCCCAAGAGTGCAGTTTTGCATAGGTGGCTGCCCGAAGAGTTGCTTTTCACAAGACAGCTTAACCAGGAGAAAAAGCTTGCTGTCACTCTCTCTCTGGCAAAATTCATGAAAATGTCTTTAAGAATCTTCATGTGATATTTTGATTTAAGAGATATTCTATAAGCCAAGGAGAAACAACTATCTTTGTTGCATATATTACTATTCAAACTTTCAACTCCACTAGAACTCTTCATGTGTAGGAAAGGTCAACATCATGCACACTGAAAATCCCTTTAACCCTTTATTTTGTTTTTTGCCCATCTAAATAAGGAATAGTGCTCACCTAAATATTTATTTAGAATAAAGAGAAGAATACATGTGGTTTACACCCAGCTTTTTACCTGAGTCAAAGATGTTTTGCAGAAGCAAATCTTTAATACCTTTTGGGTATTCAAATGTCATGGAAAATCACTGACTACTTTTTTCTCTTTATTAAGTGCCTACAAACTCAGGTGACATCTCTTTGCCCCTCTGTCCCAAATAACATTGTATTTTTGGATGAGGAATTATCATAAAAATCCTGAATTTTAACTAGTTCAAATTTTCTAAACACTAAATATGTGCAAGTAAGATTCATAATTAAAAACCTGCAAAACCCACAGCCTAAGCTGGCCACAAGCAAGCAGAGAACAGGAAGGAACATTTTTAAGCACCAACCTCACACATGGCAAGGTCATAAGTGAAAGATGTGGTTCCCATTTAAAGCACTGGTTTTCTCAAAGAAATGCCAACACAACAGACACATTAGGTTCACCTAATTTGGTAATGAGCATCAGCATTACTGAAGAAGAGGAAGGACCCTGAGCCTTCCTGCAGAACTGGACAAACACATAGTATTATTGATCCTGCTGGTCTCTGTTTTCTGCAGTCCTACACAACAATTCTATAATTCATGGTACACTCTATGGTAGAAGGGAGGTAGAACTTAATAGATTTTTTTTTTAAGTTAATGATTCAGGCAATTCTTGGACAACTTCTACTTGAGAAGATGAAACTAAAAGGTCCTATCAAAAGACAGCCCCCAGCTGCTAACAGCTCAACTCTGGAAATTCCCTGTCTTGCCCATTCCAGACTGTCCCTAAATCCAAATAACCAAGTTTAATGACCCTGGAGAGCATTTCTAGCCTCCAGTGAACTCATAACTCCATCTAAATACTAGTTAAGGATCCCGATAAATGTTTATTGAATTAAAGGGGAAAAAGAGCTCTGGAAACCTAGCATCCAAAAGCCACTGCCTGCTCGGTTGCCCCACCCCCTTCTTCCTCTATAAGAGAAAACTGGAAGATCTTGACCTAAGGGTCAAGTCATACAGGATCCAGGGGGCCTGACACTCAGCCAAGAGGTCTAGGCAGTAGCTCCAAAATGGGGTACCCACTGCCCTGAAAATGCTGGACACTTGCCAGGATACAAACCGTCCCCCAGAGAGCGGAACCGGATGGTCAGAAACCAAGTCAGTTCTGTAGAGATCCCAAGGCCCGAATCCCATTCCACCACCCTGCTTCCTGTTTATGGGTCCCGCTCCTACAACTCCAACTACCAAAGAGAAGGCAGACGGCTCAGAAATATGTCAACACATGACATAACTTGAAAAAGCTGGCTGCTTATTGGCGCGAGTTACAACTTGCCAGGTTCACACCAGAGAACCGGCTCGCTTTAATTACTTTTCTTTTACCATATCATGCTTCCCATCCAGAGCCCCCGCAAAAGGTCGGGTTACTGAAAAACAGGTAGTCCGGGTGATGGAAACCCTAAAGTGTGGGCGGAGGGCGAAAAGCAAGCAAGGAGGGAATGGATTGCTTCCGAAACGACAGCCGACTAGGATTCACCGCGATCGCGGTGGCCACTTCCTCGCACAGGCGCAGGAACAGGAAGGCTCCGCACCCCCTCGCAGGCGGCACCGAGTTGCCCGAACGCTCAGGGATGTTGCCGAGGGGGTCTCGCCGCGGCGCGTGGATGCCCTCGGGTCGGACGAGGGCGTGCCACCTTTGTCTGGCTTTCCCCACCAGAATGGGCGACGCCTCGATGCAAAGAGGGTCTGACCGGGTTGGAGGCGCAAACGCGTCTGCCCTCGCTGGGGTTCCTGGCCATGCTCACGGCCCAGGAAGCCGGCTCAGTCGCTCAGATCCTTCCACTTCCACTCCGAGCTCAGTGCGCACCCGCAAGTCCCAGTCCCACGGCCACTTCCCCGGCGCGACAGACACTGGGTGGAGAGCCCGGGACCCGCGCACTCGGGCTCAGCAGCCAAGCACAACCCGGCCCTCCTGGCAACGTACAGTGGGGTGAGGCGGGCCACCATACCCTCTGCAGAACCTGCGCCCACGCGCCTGCTCCAGAGAACCCGCGCAGAATGGACCCCTAGCGCGATCAGGTCTCATATTGGCCACCGCGTCGGGAAGACACGACAGCCGGCCCCTCACACCCACTGCCTGCCCCTCTGCCTTCTCTCACCTGCCTGCACGGTGTCCGAGAGGTCATGCCCGGGGACCGCCGTCCTGGGAAATTCCTTCAATTTCCTGGCGCTAAGGTTCAAGCCCCCGGAGTTGGCCGCCTCCTCCAGCGCGCGCTCCAGACCCCGGTTCAAGGGCAGGTTGAAACCCCCGCTGCCGCCGCCGCCGCCTCCGGTCCCGCCGCTGACTCCGGTTCCTCCGTGGTGCTGGTGGTGGTGGTGGGAATGATGATGTGGATGCAGAGTAGCAACGGAGACGGCAGGGACGAAAGGTTGGGGTTCGTTTCCCGGCGTCGCCATCTTCTCCCGGGCCCCCCACCCCTCCCCGCCGCTCCTGCGGGGGGGTCACAGCTTTCCGCGGCGGGAAGACGGCAGCTGGGGCTGAGTCCCTGCTGTACTCCCCCGAAAGACGCTGGGAGTGCGGGAGGAGGCTGAGACCAAGCGCGCAGAATGGGGCGCGGACCGGGAGGCGGCAGTGGCAGCTCGGTCTTGAAGGTTTCCTGTCCCCGGGAAGCTAAGGACTGCGGCGGCGGCGGCGGCAGCGCGCATGTGTCTCCTCCGCCTGCTCCCTCCTCTTGCCGGCTTTCCCCTCCTCCGCCGCCTGCTCTCTCCTCCTCCTTCCCCCACGCCGTCTGTCCTGCCCGAGCCTACCCCCACGCGGAGCCCGGCAACCCGCCCCGAAATTGGAGCTGGACGCCTGTTCCGGGGTGACTTACAGTTAGGCGCCGAGCCTCTCTGGGCTTTCTTTTGCCGCCCGGGAGGTTCAGGGGCACCAGAGGCTTTAGTAGGGTTGAGAAAACAGGCGAGGTAATGGATGATATTTGAAATACAGTGAGATCATGAGGAAGAGAGTTATTCTGGCTGTTTGATCCAGAATTCCCCCAAAGGCCGTATTTCATACGGGATGAGCCCACAGATGCCCCGGCATTTGGGTTTATAATGAACCAGGCGCTAGTCTAGGAGGTCGTCTACATAAATTCTCATTAAATCCAAGGACCCCATAAGTGAAAAATTGCTTCCCTGCTGGGCGCGGTGGCGCACGCCTTTAATCCCAGCCACTCCAGAGACTCATGAGATCTAACCAGCAGGATCTCAAGTTCGAGGCCAACCTGACCAATTTAGCGAGACCCAGTCTCAAAATAAAAAGGGCCGGAGGGGTGGCTCAGTGGTAAAGCGTCTCTGGGTTCAATCCCTGGTACCGGGAAGGGGGAAAAAATTGCTTCCCTCAGTCTACACAGGAAGTTAGGAAATTTATCTGAGGTCATCCCTGCAATCAGAGGCGGAGCTGGACTCATACTCTAGGGTTGCCCCCTCTTTACTGTAAACCCCTGGGCCCAGATCCCAGCGCATATAGACAAATATGATTGGGGCATAATGGTTGCTGAGGGACAGTACAAACACAGAAAGGACTTCTGAAAAAGGGTCGTTTTATCATGGACAGAATTCATTGTCAATTGAGGGAGAGGACCTGGCTATGGCCTATTGAGCCTCAAATTGTGCGGTTCCAGGAAAAGTTAGAAAGCTAGTGACTCTGTAAGTCTGTCACAGACTGAGACTGAGCCTGGGTACCGCCAAAGTGTCCTATAGAGGCTTCTCCTTTGCCCTGCGGCACATAAGAACTGATAAATCTACATTCAAGCGCGTCAATTCACGTTCTGCCGCAGGCCAGGCCAAGGCTCGCAGGCCATAGGGGAGGACAGAACATCTGTCACCTAAGGGCAGACCAGCTGCAAGACTAATAATCTTAGTCATTTCCTGGAACTTCAGCTCCAACTGTCTAGGGCCTTCATTTTTTTTCTCTATATTCAAGGTTAGATTGTCCCTAGAAGGTGATTTGGCTTGATGAAATGAGGCTGTGAATGAAGTATGAAAATAAAAATCCACATTCAGAGCAGGGAGTTAGGAAGGCAAAACTGTGATGGCCTAGGCACCAGGCTGGAACGTGTGACTTAGAGGACTCAGCCTTGAAGTATGGTTTGATCTGTGTCACTTCCATTGACTGCACGCACTCATAGTCCTTCTTAATTCTCATGGGATTCTTGGCTGAGCAAAATCATCTTCTCAGAAGAGACAAGCGCCACCTACTGGTAGACCCCCAAACTCTTCCTCCTCCCCCGCTTATTCTTAACCAGCAATTTGGATGATGGCTACAGGTTCTTTTCATGTTTTTGTCTTCGGTATCTTCCAAACATTTAATAAAGTAATAATCGAAAGTATTGAGAAAGGGGGAAAATAGGGATATTTTCAGTTCAAAATGTTGACTGTTAGAAGAAAATGATTGATTTAATCGATAGAAAAAAAATTGAAGCCTTTAAAAAATTATTCTAACACCCAGAAAAGATACCACATCAACAAGACTTTCACGTTTAAGACCCAACTCTGCGGAACATGGTGGCACTCACCTGTAATCCCAGCGACTGGGGAGGAAGGCCCGGCTGAGGCAAGAGAAGCACAAGTTCAAGGCCGACTTGGTCAACTTAGGGAGCCTCTATTGCAAAATTTCTTAAAAAAAAAAAAAATTAAAAGATTAGGAGATGTAGCCTAGGTACAGAATGTCCCTGAGATCAATCCCCAGGTGGGAGGAGGGGACCTTCTAAGTCTTGCTTGAAATGTGGAGTTCTGGACAATTTCATAAAAACCAAAATTATTAAGAATTAAGAATGGGAGACAGATTTGGGGGTGATTGTTCCCCATATGCATCTCTGGAAATCAGCAAAAATTCTCTTTTGAATTCTCTTTGAGAGAATTCAGCATAGACTGAAGGGTGGGCCTGGTCCATCATGTTTGTTCTTCATGGATTCCACTGCCTGCTCCAACCAAACCAACTGGACAAGAGACACTGACACAAGCTCCAGCTATTATTGGCCGCAGATAGGGTCACCCCTCAAACTCTCCACTGAAGATTGGAGAGAAACACATGGAGACCAGAATCAAATAAAAACAGGTATTTGACTTCAAAGGTCACAGAATCAAGGCTTGTTTACATTTTTTATCTTGACTTTCTCCAACCCCTTTGCTTCCATTTTTCTCTTTCCTAAAAAGGTGCAAGACTCTTTCCTGATCAACAATGCTCTTTTCTGGTTACTCCCTCCATATGCTGTCATTACTAAAGTATTCTCTTTGTACCACATCTGTCAATATTTATCTGTAAATATTTATTGTGTAAACAATCAGGGCATGTTATATTCATTAACTTTCAAAGGCCTTTTTATTTTATGTGCTGCCTACATGATTCAGTAGGTAATGACTGAGATGTTTGTATTGCAACTAATACCACCAAAAAGAATTTCTCTAAATATAATAAGTTTTACTATCTTGGACATGTTTCAGAGTTTTCCAATATTCCAAATCATTGATCTGTGATAGTTGGTGGCAAAGTGACTCTAACAAGATGAGAAAAATTTGAAGCATGTCCTGAGTTTTTTTTTTTTTTAATAAAAGTGAATTATCCGATTTCAAGAATTGCATATAATTGTGAGACGGTACTTTTCCTTTTTTGTGGGGGGGGTAGGAAAAAAAGAAACAATGGCAATAATAATTTGGTATTGTTAGTATCCTTTTTGAAAAAAATAGAAGTAGGTGACTAGAGTCAGTTAACAATTCTTTTCATGTTATTCACCTGTGAAATCGAAAAGCCTAGAAAGTACTTGCCTGGACTGTTGGTTTTCTTAAAAGGGAGTTCCTCGTATGCACAAGCAGCTGCCTTCAAGCATTTTCTCAAGCTGTGCTCATACCCACTGTGATTTAATGTAATGCCACTTATCTCTGTGGGAGTTGGTTTGTTTGGGCCTTCATCTCCTTCACCCCCATGCCCTTTTGTTTTATAGGGCTTCTTGATCTAGAAATTATTGTAAGTCTGAAAAGAGAATGCTAGCTGCCTTTACACTTTTAAATCTTCTACATTTGACCAGCTCTAGCTTTTTACCTTTTCTGTCCCAATATGCCCAATCAAAAACCTCAGTCCCTTCTAAGGGGCTTGCTATTCCTTCTCATGGAGCAAAGAAGCATCCTGCCCCCATCTCCTTATTCTCTCCCAAACTGAAGCAAAACAGGAACTCCTGGACCAGGCCTCCTTTCTAGGTCAGCTGCTACCAAATAAACTGTAGAATCTGGGCCATTAATAAAAAAAAATTCCCAGGCTGGGGTTGTATCTCAGTGGTAGAGCGCTTGCCTAGCATGTGTGGGGCACTGGGTTTGATTCTCAGCACCACATGTAAATAAATAAATAAAAATAAAGATCCACTGACAACTAAAATGTACATACATACATGTATGTATATAAATGAACAAATTCCCACATAAGCTGTCTTCTGGAACCACTCCCTGAATGTCAACAAAGCAATAGTGTGAGTAGCGTCAGAATTATCTATGTCTTAGACTTTTATTTATTTTCATGAATATTCTTGGACCCATGATGAAATGCCAATTTTGGGGACCTATTAGTATTTTCAAATCAATACTTTTAAAAATTAGAAGATGTGATTATCAATTGTATGGCAGAGACAACATTCTAAGCTAGAACTTGTGAGGCATAGTAGCATCTTGAAAGAAACTGTGTGGAAAATAGAACCTGGACCATTCAGGATAAGAAGCTGATTGCCACAAAAATAATTTATTTGGCTTAATGACATTGAGATCTCCCTAAGTAAATTGTAAGGGAAAACATGTCAGTGAGCAATAGCCAGTCCTCTGCTTCCTCAGTAGTTTTGTTTTT